ATACCATGAAACTATCACCACCATTTTTAAACTTTGGCTCCAATCTCACTTTGTGTTAGAACTGCTCTCTTCAATTAACCAGGGAAAGGGGTCGCCAGATCTTGGTTATCAACCCAAATTACAACTCCTCCCTCTCAAATCTGAAAATGGAATATAGACTTCAAGAAAAAGGCTTTTTTAATCCTCCTGGAATTACAACTGCCTTTCCTCCTGTAGAATAATAGGAAACTTAAGGACTTTATTACTTATCCTTGAAACTAAAAATCAACAAGAACCAGATCCTTATGGGGAAAAGGGCAATGAAATGATTCTGAATGAGAAGACCCACATTTGAGAGTTAGTGCTGAAATTCATTTTTGATACTCCCCCTTTTTGAGACAGGAGGATCTGAATTGGAGGGCGACTTGGCTATGACATCTGTCACCCTATTGATGGCTGGGGTTGACTCAGATGAACTGGCTGGCCTTATGTGTGTCCCTCTTGAAGCTGTGCACTTGTTCAAAAGGACCAATTTCTCAAATAGAGGACTGTTTTTCAAGTAAGGGTATAGGAGTGGCTGAAAACTCATGCTAGAATCTCCAAACAAGTTCTCAAGGTAACCCAGGCTGGCCTCAAACTCATAGTAATCTATCTGTTTCAGCTCTCCAAGTACAGGTCTGAACCACCATGGCCAGCTCCAAAATGAATTTATCTTATGTGAATCACTGAGTCTTGCAGAGTTCTTGGTTTGGTCCTTGCTTTCCAACTCAGTTTGTGGCTGTTGTCATCCATCTGCCTCATAGCCTCACAGAGATGGCTGGTCAGTCATCAGATACCATGCATTTGAACATGTTATTAAGAGGGAGAAAAGATAATGGTAGGATTATGAAGCTGACTTTCTTTCTTCTTCTTCTTCTTTTTTTTTTTTTTTTTTTTTTGTGTGTGTGTGTGTGTGTGTGTTTGGTTTTTCGAGACCAAAACTGACTTTCAAGCAAACTCTTTGGAAGCTCAGAGCACACATACTCTTAGAAGCCTGTGACACAGCTCTAGATTCTTACAGGGATTTTTACACAAACAAGATAGCAATATCCAATATCTTATAAATCATAATTTCTTGGTGTTGGGCTGAGAATTCCTTAATGTTAATCTCTGTCATATATGTGACATGATTATAACTTTCTTAAGAGGACATAACCAGTCCCATGTGGTAAGATACACCTTTGATCCCAGCACTTGAGAGGCAGAGGTAATTAGATCTTTGTGAATTCAAGGTCAGCCAGGTCTACATATCAAGTTCCAGAACAGCCAGGACTACAGAGAGACCCTTTCTCAAAAAAAAGAAACAAAAACAATAGCAAAACTCCAATTTCCAAACACCTTGCTAGGTCACTGGATTCAAATCCTTGGCTGCTTTCCTTCAGCCTCATCTGGTCTCCCACATTTATAACCTAGTCAAACTAGTCTCACATTTGCTCTTCTCCTCAGTAATTAAACCTCAAATTTAGCTAAATATAAGGCCAAGGAATGAAGATCTTTCCCAGATTTTCTTATAGTGAAGTGTAGCCACTGGACTAAGTTTGAGCCTGTGGGAGCTAAGCTCTACCTAAGAGAATGGAAAGGTCATGTCCTTCCTTTCCTCTTTCCTACTTGTTGGAAAGTGGAAAGTGATGGAAGGAATGAACTGAGTCACCACATGAAAAGTGCCTGTTAAGTGTACAGCACAACATGGATACAGCCAGGTCCCTAGTAATTTTGAAATACCACACCGGCCTTGACTGCCTACCTGGATCTTTAAATAAGAAAGCAGTTTCCTAGCTGGTTGTAGTGGTGCACACCAGTAGTCTCAACATTCAAGAAATTGAAGCAGGAGGATCACAATGAGTTCAAAGCCACCTTGGCTTACACAGTGAGTTCTAGAGACCAGTGGTGGCTACAATGAGACCTTGACTCAAAACCAAAGCAAAACAAATATTTTTGCTTAATCTACCAATATAGAGAGCTGGAGGGATGGCTCAGCACTGAAGAGCACTGCTTCTTCCAGAGGAAGTAGGTTCAATTCCCGACATCCACAAGGCAGCTCAGAACCCTACATAGCTCTAGTTCCAGATTATCTGACATCACCTTCTGGCTCCACAGGCATCAGGCATGCACTGGTGCACACACATACACACAGGCACAACACCTATACACATAAAATAATATGAAAATAATAATTTAAACCACTGGTATACTAGGTTTTGTCTCTTTGGGTTTTAAAAAATAATTGTTATTTATGTGTGTGTAATGTATTCTTATGTGGAGGTGTAGCTGGAGGCCAGAAGTAGGAGTTGGATCCTCTGGAGCTGAAGTTATAGGCAGCGAGTGTTAGGAGCTGAAGTCAGTCCTCTGAAAGAGCATTGGGGATTTTTTTTCCTAACCCAACAGACCACACAACATTACTAGATTCTTCATCTAGGAGTCATTGAGAATGTAATTCCTCTCTGGCTGAAAGCGCTGCTCACTCCTCCTGGGTGTTTTCTTCTTGCAATTTCAAATCTCCACTGAAATGCTGTTGGAAACCCCTTACTTGAGACGTTAGATGAGGTTAAATAAACTCCCTATATTCTTTATGCTTTCTCTTGGGTAACAGTCACCACACCTTTAACTGTTAAATTAGTATCTAACTGTTCTACTATACTATACACGCTACAGAAGCTCCTATCTGCTTGTTGAACTGTCATCTGGAGGGCTGGTGTTCAGTTCGTGAACAATGTCACAACTCTTGAGGGGTTTTTCTAGAGTAGCTCAGTGGATTTCTTGGCCTTCTATTACATGACCTCTATAAACTCCATGGATAATTCTGTTCCTGTCAGGCACTCTCACAGTGTAAAAGCTGTCTGTCTTCATTTGCCTTTAAACAAATCTGAGAAGCATCACCTTCTTGATCAAATCTGCATGGTTCTTTCTACCAAGGTTTCATATTCTCATAAAGAATGTGGGTACTAGAGTGAAAGTATTATGAATATTCTAGGATTTTTTTTTTTGAGTCAGGGACTTGCCTGTCTCAATCTTTCAAGAATCATGTATGTGTGCTTCCCACGAACATCTTGGGAATTTTATTCTAATAAGGACCTTGCACTAAGAGTGTGTGGTATATAATGTGAAAGCATATGTTTTATACCTTTGAAACAATCCTTCTCAAAGTGAGTGTAACCCAGGCTGTACCCAAACTATGTAGCCAAAGATGGCCTTGAATTGATCCTCCTGCTATTGCCTTTCAAATTCTGGTATTGAAGTCTTGTATCACCATATCTTTGAGAATTAGAATGTATTAAAGACAGTTTTTAGAAGGAAACTTACAAAATATATTATGTAGGTATTTTTATCATTTGCAGGCAACATTCTCAAAATATTTCAAGAGCCTCTGATTTAGAGGAAACAGAACTTTTAAATGATGCTACAAGTGACTGTTGGTTTCTTGCTTTACACACTAACCATTCAATGACTGACAATTTTACATGGCTTACTCATTAAGCACCTTTTGTCCTAACATTGTGGAATTATTAAGACTTCAGGGATCAGGGTAATGAGGACCTTCTTGGGGGAGGGGGCTGGTAATCAAGAACTTTGTGAGATACTCTCAATTTTACCAATGAAATGATTTATAGGGTAACTATGGGTAAGTTTTTTCCAAACCATTCAGTACAGATATGAGGAGAAATTTCCCAAGTACAAGAAATCTAATGCTTCCCTACCAACTTCAGGTCTGATAATGGTTTAAATTAGTCTGGAACAAGTTCTTCAATGATCTAAAATCAAGTGTTTACTCGTAAAAAAAAAATCAGTCATACAAACGAACGAACTAGTATTTTATAATCAGAAATGGCTTGTAGAATAAGTCTTTTCAGTGTAATGTTACCCTCCTTCTACATTAGACTCAGATGGTTCTCTACAAGATTCCTGCACAGGCCAGTAAAACAGAATGGTTTTCATGGCCACTCCCTTGATCTTTGCACATCCTTTCTCGTAATTGTCTCACCCTGATAAGGTCCAGCAAGCAACTAAGCCTATCAACTGCACAAATGTCTACCTACTACATGTACAGATTTGTTCCTCTCCTTGGAGCAAAGATAACGTAGCCTGGACTTTCCACACCTCTAGTAAAGGGTAGAGATGTAGCAAAATTCCGGACTGATGCACTCCGAATGGGTTCGGGCAACCCGGTACTTCCATTCTAAGAACCTGAGGACCCTATGGCTTCCTGGCTGGCCTGCGCAAAGCAACCGCCCACCTCTTCAGGATCTTATCCGCGACCACCCTGCTCCCGCCCCGCAGTCGTCAGCCAGCCCTGACCTCCTCGAACTGCTCGCCCGAACATCCAGCGCCTCGAGCCTCCAGCAACTCCCGGAACTGCTCCAGGGTGACGGACTCTTCACCGCGGCCCAGCCGCTCTTCCAGCCAGCGCAACAGCGCGCCGTGGTGCCTCGACACCAGAGATTCGCAGGGAGGTGCCGGCCGCAACGCAGCCGCTGCCTCTCGCAGCCGAGCGGGTTCCAGGAGTGCAGCGGCGGAAGGCAGCACCGCGGCCGCAGGGCCGGGGCCGGGGGTCGTGCCAGAGTCGGCAGCCCAGTCCTGATGTGGGCTCCAGCCCTCACCCCCGGCGGCCGCCGCTTCGTCTTCGCTGCTGTTACTCGGAGCGTTCCCCATGGGGTCTCCGTCTTGGGTGCTCGGAGGTTTCGTCGCCGCCGCCTCCCAGCCACGACCTGTCAACCTCCGACAGCTCCTGGCGGGCGGGGACGGGGTGGAGACCACAGCGGCGGAAGCGACTTCCGGCTTCCTGGCCGTCGAGCGAGGCCTGATGTCGCAACGGAGCCGTCAAGCGGATTCTATTTGCTCACGACAGCTAGATGAGGCCCAAGAACACGCCTGTTTACGTGTAAATCCACATCTAGCCTCCTTTGCCGCCATCTTTGTTGAGGGCGGATAAGTTGTAAACCTGGGCGGTTTTTGCCTATTGTTCCTCTTTCTCCTCCACCGTTCACGTTCAGAACCTATGCTGGAAAAGAAAAAGAAAGAGTCGGAGACGAAGAGTAAATTTTACTGTGAAGTCTGTCAGTGTCGCGCTGCTGACGTCACGACCGCCGTCTCCGCCCTCTTCATAAGTGGCTACCTCCGAAGTGTGTCTTGTGTGTCTCTGTGTAGATGCTGAGGATATGCGGGCTTGGTGTGGTGCTGAGCCTGGCCGTGGCGGCGGCGGCTGTCATGGCCGTGTGGTTGATGGACTGGTGGGGTCTCCGCCCTGGTATTCGCCTCTTCGTACCCGAGGAGCTAGCCCGCTATCGCGGCGGCCCAGGGGACCCGGGCCTGTACTTGGCACTGCTCGGCCGCGTCTACGATGTGTCCTCTGGCCGGAGGCACTACGAGCCTGGGGCGCACTATAGCGGCTTCGCAGGTATCAGCGAGGCTCTCACACCTTTTCTTCCTGCGTGGGCTCGTAGTCACCCGTGCGGCATGCGTTCGTCCAGTAGTTTATTCATCCGCGCCTCGTCATCCCACATTCCTCAGACTGCTGCGGTGGGAAGGACCTGATCCTGGTTTGCAGCTCGGACGCAACTGTGCTAGTTATGTACCCGCACGCTCTCTGTCCGCCGCTCTGTGTGACTGATTTGGAGAAAGATGTATTTCGTTAGTTAGTGGTTACATTCAGCAGTCTACCTGGTCTCTATAGCTACCGTGCTTTCAGTCACTTTAGACCGATCCGAAATAACCTTTCCTCCGCCTACCCCATTTCCCCTAAAATAATATTTGAGTCTTTTTTAGGTCTAGTAGATGCATTTGTCTGCTTTTCTTAAAAGATAATAAAAACCAATCGAGGAATGAAGTTAGAGTACAGGAAAGCAAGTACCTTTTGTAGTCTTGTGGTCCCAGCAATTGGAGTGGCTGAGACAGGAGGATCGCTTGAGCTAGAAAGATCCATTGAGCCTGGAATTTGTGGCCAGGCTGGCTCTAAAACAAGACGAAACAAATCTTATAATAAAATTGGGTATATTAGCCTTCCTAAGAACATTTATCAAATTAACTTTATTCTGCTGTGCCCACCCTGCCCCTTAACAACTTTGGGGATTGAAAACTATAATTTGACTAAAATCCTTACAAGATATGAGAACTACCAGCCTAAAAATTTTTAAATTTTATTGTATGAGTATTTTACCTCCTTGCCCATCTCTGAACCACCCGTGTACTTGGTGCCCAGGGAGGCCAGAAGAGGTTTTCAAATCCCTGTAACTAGTATAAATGGTTGTGATCTGGATGCTGGGAACTTTGGTCCTCTGGAGGAGTGCCCATGGTTCTTAACCTCTGAGCCATCTTTCCAGCCCCCAAGCTAATTTTAAAGATACTGTTTTTCTAGCCAAGGAGACTGCCTCTCACTCTGTTTATTTGGGGAGGTAGAATGCAGGGTTAAGACTGGTAACTAGGTTGACAAAAATTTCAAGCTGTCCATTGGTTATTTAGGAGAATTAGGAAGCTACATTGAAATACAGATCACTCACTTTCTTCTCTCCAAACTTTTCAGTCTAGCAGGGGAAGGGACCTACCCAAGGCAACAGGAATGCATTTGAGTTTCAGTTTCTCTCCACATCCTTGCCAAAACTTGTTACAAGTTTTGTTTTGTTTTATAGCCACAGAGATTGAATGCAATGTGTCATACATGCCAGGCAAGAATTTCATTGCTAAAACACATCCCCCAGTTTCTTCCCTTACTTCCATTTTTTAGATGAAGTCTCCTTATGTAGCTCACACTGTCCACACAGCAATCCTTCCTCAACCTCCCAGGTGCTGGAATTAGAGGAGTGAACCAGTACTCCTGGCTCTTAGTGTCTTTTTATTGTGATCATCCTAGTGAGTTTAAAGTCTGTCTCCTCTCTGTGTATCTCCAGTGTTTAGATTATAAGCATGCATTGCTGTGTCTGGATTTCTATGTGGGTGCCAGAAATCCAGATGCAGGTCATCAAATTTGTTAGACAAATACTTAATTGACTAAGCCATCTCTCACCCTGTTTTATGATGTTTTAGAAGGAAAGAGTAAGTTTTACCAGAGCCTCCAACCTAGTCATGGAGGAGGAAAGAGGAAGGCAGCCCGGTGAGCTGTGGAAGAGGTGACTAGACAAGGTTGGTGGCAAGTAGTACTGAACTAAGGACTGCAGATATCCCACAAGGCAAACGGACGAACTGAGGACTTTGGCAGGAAATGACAGGAGTTTCTTGGTTTAAAATGTCAGTCTAGAGTCAGGCAAGGTGGCATTCACCTTCAATACCAGCATTCAGGAGGCAGAGACATGCAGACCTCTGAGTTAGAGGCCACCTTGGTCTACAGAGCAAGTTCCAGGACTATACAGAGATACTCAGTATTGAAAAGTCATAAAATATCAATCTAGGGAGTTTGGTGTGATGGCACAAATACTTTTAATTCCTGTACTTGGAGACAGGTAGACCAGTGTCTGAGTTCTAGGCCAGCCTGGTCTATGTATCAAGTTACAGGCCAGCCAGAGCTACATAGTAAGACCCTATCTCAAAAAAACAAAAAACAAAAAAAACCCCACAAAACCCAACAACAATAAAAAACAACAACAACAAACCAATAAAACAATCTAGTACTGTAGACTGATTTGCTATTTAGGAGTGCTTCCACTCTTGTGGAGCACCTGAATTCAGATCTTAGCACCAATGTTGGATGGCTCACAACTGCCTGCACCTTCAATTTCAGGGAAACCAATGCCCTTATCTGGCCCCCTCATGCATGTACTCATATACACACAAACATGCATACATATCTGGCATATATACAGAGACAAAATAAAATTTATAATAATAAAATAGTAATCTGAGTGTTACCTGGAGAATACTTTGGTAGGATGAAATGTGGTCCTACTAGGGGTCCTCCGTGATAGTTTACCTGAGAGATGATGGCAGATTGGGATTGTTTGGTAGCAGGTAGAGACACTGGATGAATACAGGAACTATTTAGGAAGAAAATAAAGACTCAGCACTAATTAGGTAGGAGACTGCATGTATAGATTGGGCAGCTGGTTGATAGAAACACTAGGTGAGAAGAAATGCCTGTTTCTTGGAGCTAGTGACCAGTAGCTCAAGATAGGCCTTTTGAATTTGTGGTAATTGTGAGACAGCTAAGTGACATTGAGTAGAAGTTGGATATACAAGTCCAGTGCTCAAGGAATGTCTGGGCTGAACATAACCTAGATATAAGATCTGAAACCACAGGGGTGGATAAGATGTTCAAGATGTGGATAATAAGAGATGGAAGAGTAGAGCCATGCATGCTTGGTGGATCTGGAGCCTTAACAGCTGTGGTAAGTGAGAGAGAAGGATGCAGCTGATGGAGAGAGAGGTTGTTTCTCAGTAGGGTCACCAGGATAGAGTGCAGCAGCCTGGAGCTTGCAGGGACTCAGCCCCTAACAAGCTGTCCAGCTGCACAATCACCCTGACTCCGAACAGGGACAGGATGTTCAAGATGAAGAATAGTTCATTTATTGGATTTAACCGCCTTAAAAGACCTCCATGGTCCACACTTCTCCCAGAGGCCATGCTGGTCCATGGCTTGTGTTTTGGCAGAGAACCATGTTGATATCTGAGGGCCACATTGCTACTGAAGACCAAGCAGAGGTCCTTGGCACATGCTGATGCTGGAGACCATATGATGCTCTTGGTCTGTGCTATTGCCAGAAACCATGTAGAAGCCCAGGATCTGTGCTCCAGCTGACTCTAAAGAGCAAGGAAGCTAGTCTTGCAGTGCTATCAATGACTGCAGACTCACAGTTGAGAAACAGGAATGTAGAAGGCTTCTGTGACCAGCCCTACCTCCATCCCAATCTCTCCTCTCCCTGCTAAAAGTAACAGACTAAAAAGGAAGCCATCAAAGGGATTTTTTTTTTTCTCGAGACAGGGTTTCTCTGTGTAGCCCTGGCTGTCCTGGAACTCACTCGGTAGATCAGGCTGGCCTCGAACTCAGAAATCCGCCTGCCTCTACCTCCCAAGTGTTGGGATTAAAGGCGTGTGCCACCACCGCCTGCCTCAAAGAGAACTCTTAAAAGTTGTCATAGGGACGCTCACAGTGTAGCTCTCCCACAAACAATGGCTTCTGGCAGGGGTGCAGGTGGGAAAGGACTCAGCTTTCCTTCACGGGCTAGCCACTGGGAGTTTGACCATGGTCCAGTGAGTATTTGAATAACATAAAATAGACCTATTTTTCCTCTTCTTTTTATTTGGGGGCTGGGGGACAGGGAGGTCACATGATGCCTGGGATGTGATTAATAACTGGATCTTCGGCAATTTCCTTCCTGAAGGCCGAGATGCATCCAGAGCGTTTGTCACAGGAGACTATTCTGAAGCCGGCCTCGTGGATGATGTAAATGGCTTGTCCTCCTCTGAGATACTGACACTGCACAGCTGGCTTTCGTTCTATGAGAACAATTATGTATTTGTTGGTAGGTAGTCCTCACCCATTGCCATGGGTTTCAGTTGTCTGTCTTACTGTGTTAATTGTGGCATCTAGATTCTTCAGGAGTTAGGCTTAAGATAAAAATTTGAAATCAGCCCTTGGTTTTTCAAAAATTTGAAATCAGCCCTTGGTTTTTCATGTCAGCTTCTTGCTTTTGTGCAGGAGGGATCCCCAGAAGAACATAAAGTTGTGGGTAATCTTGGGAGAGTATTGCCAGGCCTTGTTCTTTGGTGTCAGTAGGCCCAGTCAGTGTCATTTGTGTTGGACATTAACAGCCAGCTTCAAGAGGCATCCTCCCTGTGGTTCCAGTACAGTCACGAAGGCTTCACACTACTCGTGTGCAGTTCTAACGGTTCCATTTGATTGCTCTCTGATGAAACAGACATCCTGAGTGAACTGTTTTTTCAAATGGAACTTATGCTAATCGCAAATCAACCTATCCATCCATCCATCCATCCATCCATCCATCCATCCATCCATCCTGGAATTCGTGTAGCTCAGGGTGGTACCAAACTCACTAAATAGATCAGACTGGCCTTGAATTCCTGATCCTACTGCCTCCATCTCCTAAGTGATCAAACATGTAATAATGCCAGCTGTGTTAGTATGTGTTAATACGTGGGGTCCTGCACCTGTTACTTACTGGTGATAGAAGAGAGAAAGAAACTGTTTTTTGAGACAGTGTTTCTATGTGTAGCCCTGGCTGTCCTGGAACTCACTCTGTAGACCAGGCTGGCCTTGAACTCAGAAATCCACCTGCCTCTGCCTCCCAAGTGCTGGGATTAAAGGTGTGTACCACCACTGCCCGGCTGGGAAAGCAACTCTTAAATGAGGACACAGCCCACAGATACTGATCACTACAGTCTTTCCTAAGCTCTGAGAGTGAGGATGGCTGAGGCCAGGCCTTTCATTGGTATGCAGCCCCACCTCTCATGGAGCCCCACATGTTCTTTCAGATACCAATATCCCTTTGCTGTTGGAACAGGTCTAGATTAGCATTTTCTGCCCCTAATGCCTCTGAGTGCTTGCTTTCATTACTGCTTGTGCTTCTAATTCTTTTGTTTTGTTTTGTTTTGTTTTGTTTTGTTTTGTTTTGTTTTGTTTTTCGAGACGGGGTTTCTCTGTGTAGCCCTGGCTGTCCTAGAACTCACTCTGTAGACCAGGCTGGCCTCAAACTCAGAAGTCCACCTGCCTCTGCCTCCGCCACCACCGCCCGGCTGTGCTTCTAATTCTGAGAACCACAGCATGTTCCTTAACTCTTCTACTGCCCGTCCAATTGTTTAAGCAGTGATTTCATAAGAGCTGAAGTGTGTACCTTTCCATCCCCCTCCTCTTTGCTCCCAGCCTCCTCATTTCTAGCCTTCCTCATCCCACATGTCTGTGCTCTGTGCTCAGTGCACTTGTTTCTTCCTGTTCGCCATGAGGTTATCAAGTGACAGTAGAAATGTCACTGACCTAATGAATGAGGTCCTGCATGCTAGACAAGCTTCATCTCTAGCCCCAGCTTTTTGAAATTCTGTCAGCTTGTTAGAAAGTCCCTGGGTCCCGGGTCCTGTGTCAGTTGGCTGCTTGTGGCTGGCTGGGGTTTGGTGTTGTTTCTTCCTTCAGCCTTTATTAAAATGATCACACTCAGCTTCACTTATGTTCACATGGGTCCTTGTCACTCTTGAGGCCTTGCTGGTGTTTTATGGTGAGGTTTTGTTTAATGTTTTTGTTTGTTTGTTTTTCTTGTTTTTTTGAAACAAAATCTCATAGCCCAGGCTGGTCTCAAACTTGTTACATAGTTGATGCTGTCACTGAAGTTCTGATCTTTGTTTCAATGCCCCAAGTGCTAGAACAGCCACAGAAACAATGTGGAATGTGGTGGGGCACATGGTTAGAAGGGCTGTGGGAGACTTTTGGTTAGTCAGGATGCACTTAAACAACTATATCTGGTATTACAATGGTAGTCCTCATAGTGGCCAGCTAGGTGTGGTTGTTTCTTTGCTTGTTTAGTTGGTTTTTGATTTGTTTTGTTTTGTATTTGATTTTTGTTTGTTTGTTTGTTTGTTGTTTTTTGGTTTGGCTTTTCGAGACAGGGTTTCTCTGTGTAGTCCTGGCTGTCCTGGAACTCACTCGGTAGACCAGGCTGGCCTCGAACTCAGAAATCCGCCTGCCTCTGCCTCCCAAGTGCTGGGATTAAAGGTGTGCGCCACCACCGCCTGGCTTGTTTTGTATTTGAGATAAGGTCTGACTGTGTAGCCCAGGCTAGTCTTGGACTCACAGAAATCTGCCTGTTTCTGCTTCCTGAGTGTTGAAATTAAATGTAAGAGCCGTCAAGCATGTAGTATTATTTTATTTTTGTTTTTACTTTGGATGCTTAGTATCGATTTTATTGTAGGACATTTCTGTTTTTAAGACTATTTTTCCAAAATAAATATTTTATTTCTGTTCAAAAAGAGGAAAGAAAACAGCGCAGAAAAATAAGAATGGACTCCTATGAGTGAACAAAGGATGCCATAGCAAATGCCATGAACTGATTGTGGAGTAGCACGCTAAGTACTCCTGATGTGCTTGGGAATGAGCCAGCCACAGAAACAGTGTGGAATGTGGCGGGGCACATGGTTAGAAGGGCTGTGGGAGACTTTTGGTTAGGCAGGATGCACTTAAACAACTGCATCTGGTATTACAATGGTAGTCCTCATGGTGGCCAGGAGTGAGTATGGTGCACTTCTTTCCTAGGTTTTGGCATAGGGGCCATCTAAGATGTTCAGGGACATCAGAGGATGAAGACAAATTTCCAAGGTGCATATTGACTTGAGCACAGTTAAGAACCTGTCATTGTAGTTGCCCAGCTGGACAATGGAAATTTTCAAGGGAAAATGAGGTAGTTCTGTTGTGCTCTGGATATACATTTAGGGACCCTGCAAGTAAAACTGTTCTCTTAACACAACTCCTGCTATCCTCTCTTTAGATATTATGTCTAAAACTCAACATTCCATACAATACAAAAGTTTGGTGTTAAATCAACCTAAAGACTTCTCATCTGGCACTAAAGCCCCGTCCCTTTGTTTATTCATGTAGCAAACATTTAAAGCAAATGGTCTGTATGACACTGTTTTAAGTACTGGAGGCTTAAGCCTTGGAGGACGTTTTCTAACTAAGGAGATACCTCTATATAGAGCTTTGAATAAAACCATGGAATGCATACTGGAGGCTTAGGTATCTTTGGAGCTGGTGGCAAGGGAGACTTCTTGGAGGAGTTGACTGCAAAATGGGCCTTGTAGAAGAAAGGGAATCCAAACTGAGATTTGGGGAGAGTGGGGCAGTGTAAGTGGGAATCGGCAGGGCCTGGTCAGATAACAGAGAAACCTGTGTACTGGAGCCCTAGGACATGAAGGAGCAAGTGACTTGAGAAGAGGCAGAGTAGACAGGCACAATCGGAATGTCTGGAGGAGCCTGGAGGCCCAGAGAAGAGCCTTGTATTTTGTGCTTTGAGTAGAGGGTCTTAGTCAGGCATAGAAGTGACACGTGGATTCAAGGGTGTTTTGTTTGCTTTTTTTTGTTGTTTTTGTTTTTTTGTTTTTGTTTTTTGGGGTTTTTTTTTTGGTTTTTCGAGACAGGGTTTTTCTGTGTAGCCTTGGCTGTCCTGGAACTCACTCTGTAGACCAGGCTGGCTTCGAACTCAGAAATCCACCTGTCTCTGCCTCCCAAGTGCTGGGATTAAAAGCGTGTACCACCACCGCCCGGCTGCTTTTGTTTTTTTAAGACAGGGTTTCACTGTGTGTAACCCTGACTATACCAGAACTTGATCTGTATACCAGGCTGGCTTCAAAATCATAGAAATCCTCCTGCCTTTGCCCCCAGAGTGCTAGGATTAAAAGTGTGCACCATAACCCCAACTCCCTGGCATATTCATGTTTAGAAAGACTATTCAAGGGACTGGAAAGATAGCTGTCTCTGTGGTTTATAGCACTGGCTATTCTTTTCAGAGACCAGATTCAGTTTCCAGTGGGAAGCCCAGGACTTCATTCATGCTTTCAAGTTCCAGTCCCTTACCAACTTCCCTGTGGTCGTTTTAAGTGAGAAATGTCTCCCATAGGCTCAGGCCTTTGAACACCTGGTTTCCAGGAGTTCCAGTTTCAGATTACCACAAGTACTACATGGCAGCTTACACTCATCTGTAACTCTGGTTCTAGTAAGCCAGCTCCCACCTCTAGTCTCCATGGACACTGCATGCATTTGGTACACAGACATAGATTTAGGCAAAATACTCATACACATAAAATTAAACAAATAAAAAGAACATTAAAATTAGGCCTATAATTCTAACACTTACAAAAACTGAGGCAGAAGAATCAAAAACCTCAGGCTAGCCTAGGCTAGAAGCTAGGCCCTGTCTTGAAATAAAGTAGTAAGGCAAGAATGTACCTTGGTGGCAGGACACCATGTGTGAAGCCCTCGTTCTGAGCTGAGCACTAGGGGGAGATGTTTTATGGAGGGAGCATGATAGGAAAGCCCGAGCTGCAGCAAAACCAACTAGAAGGCTGTTGGTCTTACTCTGTGTTTTGGATAAAGGGCAGAGGTGGAAATTGACAGGAATGGAAAGAAATCAGAATACATTTCTGAGGTAGAACTGGCAAGATTTTCCCATTAGTGAACACGGGGAAGTGATATCTGAATGTGAAAGTTGGGAGAGATCCACGGCTCTGACACAGGCCAGGGATGTGCTAGTTTCTGTTGCTGTGATAAATTACCAGAACCAAGACAACTTTATCTGGACATAATGGTTTCAGAAGCATGTCAGGGGAGTCGTGATAGCTGGCAGGCAGGAAGCTGAGAGATCTCATCTTTAAGTATAATCAGGAAGTAGAGAGAGGGTGTGAACTGGAAGTGAGGCAAGAATGTAACCACTCAGGTCCCTCTGTCCACAGAGAACAGACTTCCTTTGAAAAGCAGCACCACCTCCCAAATAGCACCAACTGGGAACCAGGTGTTCAAAGGCCTGAACCTCTGGGGACATTTCTCACTTAAAACCACCACAGGGAAGTTGGTAAGGGACTAGAACTTGAAAGCATGAATGAAGTCCTGGGCTTCCATTGGAACCTAAGTTCAGCTCTGTTTTCAGGGACTGACTAGAGGCTGGACCCACACAGTTGAGACAGGGAGCCAAACTACCTCCTATTGATCAAACCTCTCTTGGGCGTTTTCTCCACCAGTACGGTAGTGCCTTTTAAGGCCTTTTGCATCTTAGGACTTGGACACACCAAGCTGTGGCACCCAAGGAAACAGAAGCTTTTCTGTTGTATGTAGGCTGCAACTACTTTGTAGGTTTTTTTTTTTCATGGCTTAGATAATAAGAAGTTTTGATAGCCTTTTCTTTCTTTCTTTTTTAATATTTATTTATTTTATGTATATGAGTACACTGTAGCTGTTTTCAGACACACCAGAAGAGGGCACCAGATCCCATTATAGATGGTTGTGAGCCACATGAGGTTGTTGGAAATTGAACTCAGGACCTGTGGAAGAGCAGTCAGTGCTCTTAACCGCTGAGTCTTTTCTCCATCCCTTGAAAGCCATTTTTAAACAAAAATCAATGTCTACTTTGTTATGTCCACTAAGTCAGAAAAAAGTGTTGGAGAGCTGGAGAGATGGCTCAGTGGTTAGGATGCCTGGCTGCTCTTCCAGAGTTCCTGAGTTCAATTCCCAGAAACCACATAGTGTCTCACAACCATCTGTAATGGGATACGATGCCCTCTTCTGGTGTGTCTGAAGAGATCATCAGTATATTCATATACATTAAATAAATAAATAAATAAATCTTTAAACAAACAAAAAGAATAAAGATATCCCACAGCTTCTAGTTCTTACCAGGTGCTGTTTAAAAAGAAAGAGAGAAAGAAGGAAGGAAGGAAAGAAAGAAAGAAAGGAAGAAAGAAAGGAAGGAAGAAAAAAGAAAGAAAGAAAGGAAGAAAGAAAGAGAAAAAGAAAGAAGGAAATAGTGGTGGAGGTGAAAGCATGGGCTCTGAGCTGCTCTAACTAAATAGTTCTATAAGACAAAGTAATTTGACATGGACACAGAGAAATGTGGGCTAAGAAGCTATATATTCATCCAGCATTTACTAAGCTGTACAGAGCATTGATAAAAGTGTCACACATGAGTCTATTTTCAGGGAACTGATGTCTGGAGGTGACAAAGATTTGGTCATTTCCATCCTAGTAGACCACACCTAGATGACTTTTCAGCCCCAGGTAACCAGAACCACAGATTTTAAACACGAAATAGCAAATAGCCCTGATAGAGTCCTTAAGTGACTCTCAAACTTCCCGCTGGGACTTCACAAGCCAGGCCTCCATCATCCGAATGTGTCTCAACATTGTTATCTTCCAGGCTCCCACAGAAAGCTCACCAAGCTTTGACCACTCAATGGCTTTTCTAGCCTAAAGTTCTAAAGTCCCTTTACAATCCTCCCCAAACAACATAGTCAGGCCTGCCACAGTAATACCCCACAATCCTGGTACCAGTAGGTCTTAGAGTCTCTTATTGCTGTGCTGAAACACCATGACCAAAGAACTTGGGGAGAAAGCAGTTTGCTTGGCTTACCCTCTCATAGCTACTCTGATCTTCCTCCCTATGATCCCAGGAAGACTGGTTGGAAGGTTCTACAGAAAGGATGGGCTACCCACTTCAGAACTAACCCAGGTAGAAGCCATGGTGACCAAAGGCATGGAGGCAAATGAACAGGAACGGAGAGAAAAGCAGAAGTTCCCTCCGTGCAATGCCGAATGGAGCTCTGCTAAGGGCAGCAGGCTCTGGTGCTCCCAAAAGAGGTAAGCAGCCTCCCCTTCTGCCCCGCCACCTCTCCTGGATCCATTTTCTGAGCTACCCTTTTATTATCTATTTATTATTCAGGGAATCCACAACTGACTGCTAACCTAGGGAACTTACATGTGCTATACATGTAGTCTTCTGAGTTATATTCATGTGTTTATCATTGTGATCAAAACACCTGAAAGAAGCAATTTACGGGAGGAAAGATTCAATCAGTTTTATGGTTATAGAGGGTACAGTCCACCATGGCAAGGAAGGCATAGTAGAGCCACTTAGTCTGTGGCAGTGCAGGTGTGTGGGTATCAGTTCTCACATAGATAGAGAAGCTGAGGTTGAGTCAGAACCAGGAGCAGATATAACCTTCAGGGCCTGCCCCAGTGAATCCCTTCTCCTAGCTAGGACTCAGGTCCCCAAGGTTCTACAACCTTCTAAACCTGCAGTAGCAGCTGTGGACCAAATGTTCAAGTATTCCTGTTGGGGACATGTCATATTCAAATCATAAGATAGGGAATTAAAAAATCCTAATAGTAGGACATTTAATATCCAAATGAAAACCTCATGGTTGAGACATACATTTGAGACCTGGCCTCTTCCTCAACTCTCAGTCCCCCAGAGATCTGGCTAAAGGAGAAATGCTAGTCTGGGAAGTCGATGGTCCAGGTACTATGTCTTTTCTTTTTTAAAATTCATTTTATGTTATGTATATGTGTGAGTATCTGTGTTTGTATGTGTACCATGTGTATGCAGATATTTGTAGAGGCCAGAAAAGGACACTGAATTCTCTGGAACTAGAGTTACAGGCAATTGTGAGTGGGTCTGTGGATACCGAGAACCTAACCCAGGTCCTCTGCAAAATAGCAAGTGTGTTTAACTGCTGAGCCATCTCCAGCCCATAAAATTTCGCGATTTTCTTTCCTTTTTTAATTCTTATTTTTAATTGTGTCTATAAGGGGTTAGAGAGATGTCCTAATAGTCAAGAGTACTTTTTTTTGTTTTGTTTTTGTTTTTTTCGAGACAGGGTTTCTCTGTGTAGCCCTGGCTGTCCTGGAACTCACTCTGTAGACCAGGCTAGCCTCGAACTCTCAAACTTAGAAATCTGCCTGCCTCTGCCTCCCAAGTGCTGGGATTAAAGGCGTGCGCCACCACCGCCTGGCCAAGAGTACTTGTTAATCTTGCAGAGGACCTGGCACCCACTTGGTGGCTCACAACAATCCATAACTTCAGTTCCAGAGTTTCTGAGGCCTTCTGACTTCTACAGGCACCAAGAACATGTGTGATACATATATATACACACAGACACTCATACATAAATCAAAAGAACCCATGTTCATGTTTGGGTATGTGTTAAGTGCCCAAGAAGCCAGAGGTGGCGTGTCCCCTGGGAGGAGTTACAGATACTGTGAGCTGTCATTGTGGGTGCAGGGAACCAAACTCAAGTCCTCTGGAAGAGCAATGTAAGCTCTTAACAGGCAAACTCTCACGCTTAGGTCAAAATGGCTGGCAGACCTGCTGTTGCAGCATCAAGCAAGTGGCTGGATGGTTTTCACAAGTGGTATTATAATGCTGCAGGATTCAATAAACTGGGGTTAATGATAGATGATACAATACATGAAACTGAAGATGTAAAAGAAGCCATAAGACGGCTTCCCGAGGGCCTTTACAATGACAGAATGTTTTGAATTAAGAGAGCCCTGGACCTGAGTATGAAGCATCAGATTTTGCCTAAGGATCAGTGGACAAAATATGAGGAGGACAAACTCTACCTTGAACCCTATCTGAAAGAGGGTATTCGGGAAAGAAAGGAGAGGGAAGAATGGGTGAAGAAGTGATCTTGTAGTTAAGATCTGTGGGTGTGCCTGGTCTCACGATATTTTCATGAAGTTATTTCAACCCAAATAACAATCTAAGAATTATTTGCTCTACATATGTCTCACATTAAATAAAGAAATGTCTATTGTAAAACAAAAACAAAACAAAACAAAACCAGCCAAACTCTCTACATCTAGCTCAGGTCCTGCTTCTTGGACTACTTCTGCCTATTCAGCCAGGATGGTCCTCAGTTTCCTGTTTGTCAGCACAAATTATTCCTGCCTGCAGGAGCATGGGGTGGAAGGTGGACTCGTTCATTGATGCCCTGGGTAGTGTTTCATTTTTATTTTCTTTGCAACACAATCTCATGTGGAGTACACAGACCCTGGACTGGCCTTGACCTCTTTGTTCAAGGATGTCCTTGAACTTCTGATCCTTCTGCCTCTACCTACTGAGAGCAGGAACTCCCAGCATCCACCACCATCATGCCTGGTTTATACGCGCTCGAGTCTGAACTCAGGGCTTTGTCCAAGCTAGGCAAGGACTCTGCCAGCTGAGCTACACCCCTAGATTGTTTTTAAAGCACTATGGAATCTGGAGTGTAGCTTAACGGTATAGTGCTTGCTTGGAACATGCCCTGGGTTTAATCCTTAGCACCATTAAAAGCAAAGTAAAGCAAAACAAATAAAAACAAAGCAAATAAAATAAAACCCCTTAAAAATCAAAATAAGACAAAAGTAAAAAAAAAAAAAAAAAACCAACAAAACAAAAAACCAGAAAAGCCCTGGCACCCTGAGCATTTGCAGCAAGTGCAGGCTGGATAGATGTCTCTTCCTGTGCAAACACAGTACAGTGAACAAGGTTACAAAGCATGGTGCTATAGAGATTCTGCTTTACTCATCAGGCTAGCCATACTCAGACTTAAGCTCAGCTCTTCTCATCTCCTTTAAAGTTCTGGTTAAGGGGACAGTGGGAACTAGAAACTGGATAAAGCTCCCAGACTCAAAGGATCAGATTAACAGTCAAGCTCTTACTGAGGAGTGGGGAGAGAGGCCCCATTCCCATGTGCTAAGCTGTGTAGAGCTCCCTTCTTGCACCAGGGATCTATCAACTAGTTCGGGGAATAAAGTGAAGGTTCAGGAAGCAAAACTTTGAAAGGCATGGCTTTTGTGGTACCGCATAACAGAGGACAGTCTGGGACCTGGGTGGACTTCTTGGGACATAATCCTGGATACAGGTGTCCTCAGAGAGTACTGGTGATGTAGGAGGCACCCTGTGTGATGTAGAGAACCTGTGGTGTACAATTAGATGGTCCCTGTACCCCTTGAGAGCCTCCCTTTCCCCCAAGATTCTTCTGGCTCATGAACTCCCTTACATTCAGAACTGAGTTGCTCAGGTCCTGTCTTCCCACAGAGTCCTTACAAACTATTTCTGAGCCTCAACCCATTGTGAGAGAAAGGAGCTTGTGGGTAGGGACCAGGTGTAGGGTAAAGCTCACTGGTGGAATAGACAGCTGGACCAAGAAGGGAGACATTTTGGTGCCTAAGCAGCCCTGCTCATGGATAAGACACAAGGGAAATGTTTCTAACAGGGCCAGTTCCTCTCTCAGCCAGTGATCCTGGTCCAAGCACACTGGACACTGGAACATGCACCTCTCTCAATCTCTCAATCTCTCAATCTCTCAATCTCTCTCTCTCTCTCTCTCTCTCTCTCTCCATATATATATATGTATATATGTGTATGTATATGTATGTGGGTCAGTTTCATGAGTTTCACTTTCCTTCTGCAGGGCCTCTAAGTCTGTCAAGGATCAAATGCAGTACACTGAAATGAATTAGGTTCTTCTGCCCAATAGGAGGTTGCCAGGGTATGCTGGGTCAACATGGAATCCTCTTTCCCTGAAGCCTGGCAGTCTCAGGAGTTGGATCCATACAGAGCCAGCACAGGCTGCTGCCACACAGGTGTCAAGGCCCACCCCGCCAAATGCTCCAAGCCTGAAGATAAGACGCTGCTCAGCGTGGGTGTGAAGGAGCAAGGATCAGGGGGATGCTCACTGGCTAGTGGGGAGACCTCTCGGTCCTAGCAGCAGCTCAGTGAAAGCTGAAAAGTGAAGCTGCTGTTGCTGCTTGACAAAAAACAGGGGTGGGACAAGGACACAGTGAAAGGGACATGGACTCTGCTTCCTTCTGGAGAAAGCATTGTTAGCATTGTGTGTGAAAAGCCGGAAGCAGGAGAGCTAGGTCCCAGGTTGAGATAGGAAGTGGAATAAAGAAAGGGCTCATCCCAGGCTTGTAAGTTTATACCTTTAAGAAATCCTATCTTTTTTTTCCTAGTGGAGGTGTGCACAGAGACTGGATTGGTGTTCCCAGGAAGTTGTATAAGCCAGGGACCAAGGAGCCCCATTGTGTGTGTGTGAGAACAACTGGTCCTCCTAGTGACCAGCAAGACAACCCTAGACACTCAAATCGTGGGGACTTGGACAACCCCAATTTGGAAGAATACACAGGTTGTCCACCGCTGGCCATCACTTGTTCCTTCCCAGTCTAAGATGGTGTCCTGCATGTTGCTGACACATGGAGAACCTTCCCTAGATCTACAGAAAGCCCTCCTTGTGTCCTAGGATGGCTCCTGGCCTGAAATAGGAGTGTCAAGGACTCCAGCCACACTCTGCAAATATGGGTCACAATTCTACTGACTGAGACAAGAGCCTGATAGCCTACCTCGTATGGTCAGCTTGTTTTGACACTGTTTGGAACCTCTGTCCCTGTCATCTTCTTTCAGAGCCTGCAGACATTAACGAACACAGTGAAATCGACACAGAACTGCTTGGGTAAGAAGTCTGAGAGTAGAAACAGGCGGATTTCTGAGTTAGAGGCCAGCCTGGTCTACAGAGTGAGTTCCAGGACAGCCAGGGCTACACAGAGAAACCTTGTCTCGAAAAACCCAAAAAAAAAAAAAAAAAAAAAAAAAGAAGAAGAAGAAGTCTGAGAGCTGCAGCAGGGACATCCCATAGATTCAGTGCTGCCTGAGTCAGAGCTTGGATCTGCCCATCATGCCAGTCCTGCTGGTACTTGGAGCAGTAGTGAGACAGGACTGTGGCTCTCAGTGGAAAAATCAGGCATTTCCCAAGAAGATCTTGCACCTTAGTAAAATAAAGGTAACTGTACTAAGTCACAGAGTGATTAAACCCCTAATTTCTGCCATTTGTGACATTTCTAAGACCTCTACTCCAAGGCAAACTTGAATGTACTGACTCCATGAGAGCTGGGATGGTCAGTGAGATGAGACAGTGAACTGGAATAGCAGATTGCAGGGCTTGACTTACACAGATGGAGCACACCATAGTCTCCTGCCTGGTATGTGTGAAACAGCTCTCTTTACTCATACTGCTAGTGAAAAGTTGTCCCTCCACTTTGAGTCTCTATGACTGCCACCATTTTAAAGCTTTGCTCCAGGTTTCTCAACCCCACTGTGGAATTCCCTTCTCTGTGTACAGTATCACTTCTTACTTGTCTTTCTGGTTCTTGTTTTCATTTTCCAGACAGGGTCTCATTATGTAGCTCTGGCTATTCTGGAAGTTACCAGGTAGACTGGGCTGGGCTGGAACTCACAGAAATCCTCCTGCCTCTGCCTCCCAAGTATTGGGATTAAAGGCATGCACCTCTATGTCCTACTGATTCTTACCTATCTTGATCTCTGCTACTTTAAAAAAACTTACTTGACTTTTTGAGACAGGATCTCATGTTTCCAGGTCACCCTTGAACTCAGTATGTAGGCGTGTGCTACCATGCCCAATTTTTTCAGTACAAGGGATTGAATGAACCAGAGCTGATACATGCTAGACAAGCACTTTACCAACTGAGTTATAGCCCTAGGCCCTTGATCTTCATTGCTAATAGAAGGTGGAGGACGGGGAGGGCACAGCCACTGTGCGCTGTGTCAGCCCTGAGCACGTGGGTGTTGCAGGATATTTAATCACACTGTGAACCTCAATTGTGTTTCTAGTTGTGGTATGGCTCAGCCCTTAGCACACACCTTTGATCCCTCTGGCTGGAATACAGACAGGCCCTTAGAACACGCCTTTAATCCCAAACAATGAAGGTAAAGTATGTTTGTAGAAGGAAGCGCCCATGCTAGAAAGTGTTATCTAATTGAGTGGCAAAGTGATGAATCAGAAAATGATTTGATAATAGGATATGCCCAACTCTCACGAGAAGAGAGGAACTGGAAGTTACTTAAGGGAGCAGTGTGAAAGAAAAGGGGGAGGGGGAGGGAGAGAGAGGAAACAGTTTCACTGGGACAGTTGTACAGAGACAGGTTGCAGAGAGAACAAGCTAGACACAGGTGATGACAGATCAAGGCAGAGAATGAGAGGGAGCCAGAAGATTAGAACATATTTGCCAAAGTTAATATGAGAAGTTTGAGCCAGAATAACTGAATGAACCAGCAATCCAGAGATCAGAACTAGAAAGTAGGGTGAGTTTATTCAGCAGCAGGTCTCAGAGGCTGAAAACATTTTAGGCCTATATAAGATTGTGTGGAGGCTAGAAGTTTCTAGGACTAGGGCTAAGCTAGCAGACTGAGGCAGTAAGCCTCAGAGACTTTTACAGTTTACTTTTACAGGTAGGCCTGGTTGTGCAAGAAAGGTAGCTAAAGCCAGGAATGGAGGAGTACACCTTTAAATCCATCACTGGGAAGCAGACACAGGTGGATCTCCAAATTTGAGGCCAATCTTGTTCTACAGAGTGAGTTCTAGAACCGCCAGGGCTACATAGCAAGATTCTGTCTTTAAACAGGAAGAAAAAGACAGCAGCTGAGCAAGCCAGCTAGCAGCATTGCTCTATAGTTTCTGCTTTGTTGAGCTCCTGTTAATCTCCCTCAGTGGTGAACTATTACCTGGAAGTGTAAGATAAAATACACCCTTTTCCTCCCAGGTTTATTTCTGTCAGGACACTACCATATTACTATCCACATCCTGCCCACAGAAAAGTCTGCCAGGTGGTCAGAACTCATGTCCTGCCTGCTAGCTCTTCCTTTCTATCCCTCCTCCTTCTAGTCTTTATTTTCAGGCCAGCAAGTATTGATACTCCAGCCTCTTCCCTGCTGTGGTTGGTCATCTTTTTTTTTTTTTTTTTTTTGAGACGGGGTCATCTTTCTTAAGGGAAGTTTCCACTTAAACCTCCCAGGGGTTCCCCACATCTCTGAGGATCAGAGCAGCACTGTGGCAGAGGGGCCTCTACATTGCCTTTGCTCTGACATCTCTTCTCTCCCTAGGTGCTCTGCTTTCCAATCTGTAATCCCTAGTGTTTCCACAGAAACTCTTCCTTCTGCCAGGAAAATCTCTCCCTCCCTGCATTAGTCTCCGGTTTATTTTTTATTTAATGTACATCGGTGTCTTACCTACATGTATGTCTGTGTGAGGGTGCCAGAGCTCTGGAACTGGACTTACAGTTGTGAACAACCATGTGGTTGCTGGGGATTGAACCTCTAGAAGAGCAGTCAGTGCTCTTAATGGCAGAGCCATTTCTCTAGCCCCCTCCTGTTTAACAGCCCTGTCCACACAGGCCTGCCTGGCCTGGGTATCTTCATTAGCCATAGGCCTGCAGAGTAGGTTTCAACTTTTGCCCTGCTCTTCAGTTGGTGTTCAACTATTGTGGGCATGGTGGTGCAACCCTTTAATCCTAGCACTCGGGAGGCAGACAGGCAGATCCTTGAATTCAAGACTAACTGGTCCACATAGCAAGTTCTAGGCCATCCAGGGCTATAGTGCAACTCTATGTCCCCCGTCCCCCCACAAGCATCTACCATTGTGGGCTCGAACCATGGATCCATCAGCCTCACACTGGACTGACACACATCCATGGACTGTGAACACCTATGCTTGTACTCCCAGGCAGAGCACAATGGGCTGATCCAGGACCTTGTTCTGAATTCTACCCAGCCCTGCACCTGATTCCTGAGTGCTAGGATTAAAGAGGGTGGGACCATCCAAGGTCCCAAGAAGCCCATTCAGAATGCATTAGATCACCACAGCTAGTTGTCTGAGTTAAGGACAGATGTAAGAGGAACAGAAAAAGAACACATTAAGTCCAAGCAAGAGAGCATTCTGAAGTTTCACTCACTAGATTTTTATTTTTGGTACTAGACTTAAGCAGGGCTTTGCTTTATGAACACCAGATTTTAATCTGCAGACTCCTAAACCTTCCTTGATGTTATCTGAAGCCCTCAGTGCTATCAGCCCCTGCCCCCACCCTTTTAAATCTTGGCCAGTAGGAAGCTCATCATGGTGAATACTTACAGTTGCTTTGAAATAATGGAGTAAAGGAGGAGTCTAGGATTCTTTGGACAACTTCCATGGTTTTTTGCATCAGAAGTCACCATAAACTAAAGCTTGCATCGGAGAGGCAGGGAACGTAGCAGCTACTCACTGCACAAAATGCTTGTGAGATCTGTTAATATGTGCCACACGGAATGTTAGAATATAAAATGTTGAGGGTAACTGTTCAAGACATTTGTCCACAAATCAATTTTAAATATATTTTTCAGATTTATTTTTATTATTTTATGAGTATGAGTATTTTGCCTACATGTACATCCTTGTATCACTTGTATGCCTGGTGCCCGAGGAGGTTGGGAGCCTCCACATGAGTGCTGGGAATGGAACCCAGTCCTCTGTAGCATTTACTTTTAACCACTGAGTTAACTCTCCAGCCCTCGTATTATCAAGTTTTAGAAATTGTTTTTTAATGTTTACTGGTACTTCTGGCTTAGAAGTAGCTATAAAATGTCTTTAATTAAAGTTTACACTTTAAATTCACAATTTTACCTCATTTTTATTATAAGGAATTATTACAGAAAATCAAAATATCAATATTTGAAAAATACATTCCATTACACAGACTCCAAAGAAACAATGCTGCTAAGCGCCATGGTCCCTGCTGATGCTGTCCTTCCCACACTGAGCACCACCAGAGCAGTTTGAGAGCCAAGTGGTCTATCCAAACGTGTGCCTGCAGTTTTGGCCCAGCTGCTGCTGCCTTGTCCTTGGTACCTTAAGGATGTCATGGAACGCCCAGTTCCACACAGCTGCCAAGCTGGCAAGTCAGTTCGTCCAGCAGTCCCCACCCTCACTGTAGAGAACCAATGTTGTCAGTTGTAAGAGTTAATACATTATTTATTCCACGCAAGAGGCAATGATCCTCTAGAGAAAGTCTTTAAGGCATCTACGACATCTGGGAATTTTATATTAACTGGTCACATACTCAGTTTTCCACTAGATCAATTCTGTACAGTGAGCATAGCTCAGAGGCCTTTGCTGAGCTGCTTCCTCTGCTGGGCTGGCAGGGGAGCTCTGGAGCTTCAGGTGGCTCTAGGGGGCTGATCCTGAGGGAAGCCAGTATCTGTGAGGGAGACATACATTTACATGTTGATGTCACTTCCTCTCTGGTCTAAGCTTTTGGCAGTTCAGCCACTTTTTTCTTTCTCCAAGTAAGGAAACCCTAGATGGGAGGCCTGTCCTCCACCCCTTGTCTGCAGACAAAACTAGTGCAGGAACGTGCCGTATGGGGGATGGGCACAAACTGGGCAGGGTGGTGTGACCCACACACCCAGCTTCATGAAAGACCCATTGAAGGAGAGGGAGGAAGCTGATGGGTAGTCAGAAACAACTCATGGCTCTGAGGTAGAGGACAAAAACATCATGTGGACCCCACTCCTTGGAGAGAATATGGCAGATGAACTGAGCAGTCTAATATTCAGCCTCGACTGAACTGGTTATTGGGGTGGAATAGGCCCAAAACTCGTGTTCTAACACATCACTGAGTGAGATACCAATGAAAAGACAACTGGAAATAAGGGAGTCCTCAGTGTAGGCACTTAAGCTTGTGGGACATTGCTGTGTTAGAGGATTATAGCAAACTAGTTTAAGCACATGGTCTGTACCTCTATCTTTAAAAAAACCAAACAAACAGAAAATCCTTAATGATACACTGTACAGCAGAGTCCTGATGAACAAGAGGCAGTTAAAAAGCTAGGTGAGCACAGCAGGTTAACTGAGGCAGCAATTATCTTTCAGTAAAGTTGACTCTTCCTGATTGGCTCATTCACAACTGACTTTTCGAATGAATAAATGAAGTTTTGCAGCTAGTTCTTAAGGTACTGATTAAGAGTGAACAAGAACAGCTAAGCAATTTCATGGTGAAGTCTGGTCAGCATGGAGAGAGGACAGGAGAGATGCACAGGAAGTCTGGTCCTGGCCAGGGCAGTGAACAAGAGGAGTGCAGCGCAGTGAGCGGGGCATGGTCAGGGGGATTGGGGCGTGGAAGAATGCCCGGTCCACATCTACAGCATGGCTACCAATGTCCCTCAGTCAGTCACACAGCCAGCCTCTCTCAGCCACTGCTAATCACTACACTGACCTCTGAAGGAACAGAAACTTTAACCTACATATGTTTTAGGCATGATCTTCAGATTGGAAGTACAGTTGTAGGCAAGACTGTTACTGACACTGGTGTGGTGGGGCAAGGACAGAACTAGCTTCATCCTGACTCTCCATCCCCCTCTCCACAATAAACAAGGGAGAACAGGTATATGTGCACCAACCACCCTGGTTCATAACCAAACCATTATTACCTTCCCCACTAAAGCATCATGATAACAACCTAATCCTAGGTCTCTGTGGCCCTTTTAAGCAATAAAAAATTGGAAACTGACTGCATGCTTCCTATAGTTGTTGGCCAAGACTGACTAAATGTTTTCATAAAAATTCTCTATGAAGTTTAAGTCACAGGCTGGGGGCAATGGCACTCCTCCAAGTAACTCTTCCTTTTAAACACTGTGTACAAGCTAATGTTAACATAAAAAGCATACATATAAATCACACAAGTATTTTTAGAAAGTAGCACACTGGTTTTTCAGCACATTTTATACATATTTAGGCAGTAGGATGCCTAACTCTACAGCAACAGAGAGCATACCACTATCCAAGAAAGAGATGCCCAAAGAAGTCCCTTTCATTCACACAGCCATACTCCAGTAATGCAAGTAACGTAGGGTTATCAAATGTCTCAAAAAATCAGTGCGAGTGATTGACAGTTAATCTCTGACTATGAGCAGATATTGTTCATCTCAGAGTCTCAGAGCAGTTGTTTTTGTTTCTTAAAAACAAACAAAAAAAGTGGTATAAGTTTCTCTTTCAGTGTGCAATATAATAAAATTAAAAAATTAAAACTCCCAAACAGAAACAACCCAAAACATTGGCCAAACTTTTAAAAGAAAGAGGCCCAGCATCCCGGGGCTAGTATGTGTAGCATCAGGAACCAAAGACCTATGCTTCAGAGCCTTGCTCGTCATTTCAGCCAGATTTCTAAAACAGGCTGTTCACAATTGGCCAGGGCCTTGGGCTGCTTGGCTCTGATGAGGCCCAGTGCTACCCAGAACCAGCACCGTGAGCACTCAGAATGCAAGGCAAGGCTTTAGCAGGAAGGGCGTGTCAGGGAGAGAGGACCTGGATCAAAGCCACAGCCATCGCCTTCCGCATCATTCACATCAGTATGAATTTCTTCCTTCTTGGCAGTTTTCCCTTTTAGATTAGTGTGTGCTGAGGTCCAGTCCAAGCTGGCCATCAGAACCACTGATAGGAGAGTATGTGATGGCATTTTTGAACATGGATTTTTGAATTGGATTCACCAATGATACAGCTCTAGAAAAAGTGCAGCACAGTCAAAGTGCATTTCTTCCACCACTCAAGTGGCAGCGACTGAGGACTCCACAGACAGGACGCAGCAAGACGAGAGAATGAGATGGCTGCTAGGTGTCAAGCTGCCACAGGCATTCTGACACCTAGCAGCAGCAACATTGGTAAAGCTTTCAGTTGTTAAGGCCACAATTATTCAGCTCTCATCTTTGAACCCTGTTTAGAAAGATTTCACCTTTTTAAAAGGGCAGCTCACTAAAAATACAGCTTAGCTTAAAGAAAGAAAAGACTTGAGGGCACGAAGTTCCTATTATCTTTATGAAAACACTGTGCATTAAAGGCGGTAGCCACTCAGGGTAGCCACCACCCGAGTGAGTAACTAGCCCTCGTCTAGCGGCTGCTCTCTACTGTCAGGCTCTGCCTCTGGGTCAGCCCAGGCAGGAAGACTTTGTGAATTCTCTGAGATGGACGCTACGTTACTGAAAGGGAACATTGTCTCCAAGTGTCTTGTGTGCTGCTAGCTGATTCCTATCACATTTGTCACGCAGGCTAAACTGGCCTGGTCCAACCAGTGAGACATCTAGTGCAATAGACCGAAGTCTGACACTGACAGTCATACAGTTTGAAACGATCAGGGATCACACCATGGTCTTCTGCCGCAGGAAGACAACTGCCAGCTCTTGCTCTGGGTAGGAGGCAGGCTGGTGAGTAGAGCAGCTGCTGGGGAGGTGCCAGGGGATGCAGGCCTGGATCCTCCTGGGGGCCTCACTAAGAGACTCCGCCCAGAGTCAGTACATCAAAGCAAATGTTGCAAACCCGCACAGGCTTGTTCAGGTCAAACTTTATAATAGGAATCTCCTTGGTTGAGCATTTATGGCAAAGCAGACGGCCGCAGTGACGACTGTGGAAGCAAAGAAAGAAGTATGAGAGGCACTAAGAGCAGACGGGCTCCAAATGGTCAGCCAAGTCTGTGGCATCTGTGGCCAACTGCCAGCTACCCGTCAAGTCACACCAATTCACATAGGATTTTCAGCTCTTAACACAATACTAACGAGTAGCTAAGCTAAAGCAAACATAAAGAAGTTAAGCATAGATCCTGGCTAGTCCTTGGCACCCAGGAAAGTGACAAGTCTGAGTGCTCCTTCATTCTCTGCTCTCCTTTCATACTGGGAGCCTGCTCAGTTAATTCTATCATCTCCCCATTCTTCTGCCCAGAAGGCTGAGGCTCACTGTGGACAAGTATGGAAGTAATGACATCAGATGAAGCCCCTACTCCTCTGCACATGACAGTGGGGTCTTACCAGTGATGCTTTCGAGTTGTGACTCCAAACTTGGCAGTACATTCATAGCAGTTGGAGCCGTCACACCATGGAGGCTCCTTGGAGAGCATATCTGTAACATACCGAAGACAGCCTATTAAACTGATTAGACCAAACTCCAGGAGCAGGACATGAAGCAGCAGGCTGCATTAGATTTTGGGAAGAGTGTGGCATTCCAACTGGTCAGGAATAGCTTCAGAGAGGAGCTTGGAGAATAAGCACTTGCCAGGCAGACTGGGACAAGAGGAAGCCCAGCTGGAGGTGCAACTCAGCAGCATGTAAATGGTACCACCATTGAAGACAGCAGAGACCACACCACAGAAACACTGGCAAGGCGGAAGGGCTGGCAGCACAGTAGAGGGAACCAAGACAAAGGAAATGAGGAGGGAGAATCTATGGATTTGGGGGTTGTTTGAACAGACACGTGGGATGTGTGAACAACAAAGAGACACAGGGATTCCCAGATTTCTGGAGTGACTCAGTCTGGTGGGACTAACTGAGAGATGGCCTGAAGAACTAATGCAGAGAAGCTGCGGCAGCACTTCCTAAGTAGGCAAGTGTCCTGGGTAGAGTGCTGCTACTCTGGACAAGGAGGAGTGGCAAGTAGTTGGTCACGTGGAACCAGCACTGCCACAGGCACCTGCTGAGTGCTGAAAAGACTGACCAAGTGTATACATAACATATCAACAGTATAAAGCTTCCTAAAAAATGTGTATACACACACATACACACATATATAATAATATGTATGTATGTATATATGTATGTATGTATGTATATATATTATTAGCAGGGATAGAGAGATGACTCAGTGGTTAAGGACTTCAATCCCAAGGAGTATCCCCTGGTCTCTAAGGGCACTTGCATGAAAGAGATGCATATAAACTCACACAAGTACACATGTTCACATAAATTTAACAATCCTTTAAAAATGAATAATTTTTTTCCTCAAAAAAAAAAAAAATTTTTTTTTTTTTTTTTTTTTTTGGTTTTTCGAGACAGGGTTTCTCTGTATAGCCCGGGCTGTCCTGGAACTCACTCTATAGACCAGGGTGACCTCGAACTCAGAAATCCACCTGCCTCTGCCTCCCAAGTGCTGGGACTAAAGGCGTGCGCCACCACCGCCCGGCCCTTTTCTTTCATCTTATGTTTACATTTATGAGCATTCTATCTGCATATACGTCTTTGTACCATGTACATACATAGAAGATGGCAGGAGTGTCAGATCCTTTGAAACTGGAATTATAAATGTTTGTGAGCTACCATGTATATGTGGGAAAAGGAAGCTGGATTCTCAAAGAGCAGCCTGCACTAAGTCACCTAGCCCCGTTAGAAAAATCTCTTTAAGAATAAAGCACGTGTAAGTGCGCCATGGTGTCTTCGGCAATGAGAGGACAGTGCTGTGGAGTCAGTTCTCTCCTACCTTTATGTAGCTTCAGGGGTAGAGCTCAGGTCATTAGGCTTATGCAGCAAGCAGTTTACCTGCTGAGCCATCTTGATGGCTCTCTAAAAAATTTTAAATTGACACTTGAAAAATTGTATTTCTGGGGTATGGTATGAGGATCTGACGTACCAACATCCTTAAAACTTTAGCATTCTTTGTGTCACACATGAATTCCTTTTTCTAGTTTGCAGGTCTGCGTCCACAGAGGAGGCAAGACATGGGAACTGTATTTCCCCACACAGCCGCTGGGCGGGTGCTGGGCTTCAGGGGAGCAGTTAGACAACAACACTCCAGGGGTGGGAAATGTAGTCTGAGGTGGTGGAGAAGCAGGAGTT